TTCTCTAATGGATGAATGAAGAAAGAAAATGTGAAAAACACACATACACATGCAATGGAATAATATTCAGCCATTCTAGAGAAGGCACTGTTATCATAGGAGATGATAGCTTTGAGTGTGTGATTGACTGTAAAGACCTTCTAGTAGGACATGATATGTCAGTAGAAGAAAGTGATCTGGACAATCCTGACCCAGTGTAGGCCTAGGATAATGTGTGTTTTTGTGTCTTAGTTTTTACAGGAAAATTTAAAAAGTAAAAAAAATAAATACAAATAGAAAAATCTTAAGAAGAATACAAAGAATATAAAATATTTTGTACAGCTGTACAATATGTTTGTGTTTTAAGCTAAGTGTTATTATTAAAAGTAAAAAAGTAAAAAACTTTAAAAGGTTTTTAGAGTAAAAGAAAGTACATTCAGGTATTCAATTCCTCTTCCCAGAGGTAAGAAATTTTACTTTTTGTTTTGCATACTTTATATTTGATTGCTTGGGCATATATAAAATATTATCTCCTATCCATTCCCTTTAAAAAACTTCCTATTTGAAGGTATTTCATATCCATACAAACAGAGCTTCCCTAATCTTTTCTTACTGCTTCCATTATATAGATGTTCTATAATTTAGCCACTCCTTCACTGATGAACATGTCCCCCAATTGTATGCAATTACAAATATTTTTAAAACAATCATTATTTTTTTCTACCAAAACACATATTAAATCCCTAATGTCATTTAGTATACAGTCCATTTTCAAGTTTTCTCAATTTTCACAACGGTATCTTTGTAGCTTTTTTTTTTTCTTTGTTATATCGAGGAGAAGTTTAAGTTTTAGTTTTTATTTTGCTTTACTTCCTCTCTTTATTAAATCCAAGTTTTCTTATATTGTGATTAGAGTATGTTATCTGTACTATTTCCATTTTTGGAAAGTTCTTGTAGTATATGGTCTTGTGAATACTTGAAAAGAAAAACAGTCTGTTTTAGGTTTCAGAGTATGATGTTACTTAGATCTACATTATTACTTATGTACTTTAGATCTTTTATATCCTTTTACTTTTGATCTCTTTTTTCTCTCTTTTATGACTCATTTATAGCTTTCTCTGTTGGCTTGCTAGGATTCTGGGTGACAATTCCCTTTGGTAAATGAATTCATATTGGTGATCTCAAATCTCTGCAATATCATTTGGTCCACACTCTCTTGTGTGGCAATTAGCTATATATTTCACAATAAAGGCAATTTTATAGTTGTTTGTGCATGAAGTAATGCTAGTTCTAACCAGGGGAAGGTTGAATGTGGTTAAGTCTTTGGAAATAGTCATACCTTTGATCTTTAAATAAGTATATTGATGGCAAATATAGAAATAGCTCAGGGATATTGGTGTACAATATTGAAGTCCCAAAGGCCAGTATTGAATAGTGTTTCTGATGACAAGTTTGTTTTGTATAGAAATCAATCAAATATTCCCTTGTACAAGGGAAGAAGCTTTAGTTGAGCTTAATGATCAAGAATTGATACAAATGAGAAGAAAAAGAACATGCAGTTAGAAACTAAAATTACTTTTTTTTTAGCCCATTGCTATTTAAGGTTGAGATTCACAAAAGGGAATTAGAATGGTTAGGAAGCAGTCTTATAAGTGGGAATAGAACCCAAGATTTGCTTTAGTTTTGGGCTTTATTTCATTTCTTGACACGAAGACAGAGCACCTTTGCTTTCTTCATTCACTAGAGAGTAGTAAAGACTGAGTATCTCATGGGAAGCTAAAGAATTTTGTGGATCAAGACAATGGCAGTCTGGAAACCCAACTAGGATGCTCTTAGCTGCAGGTACTGTATGATTTGTCTTCTCCTAGCATGTTTGTTTAAAAAGCCAGGATGAATTAAGTATGTATTTGAAGTAGCTTAAGAAACTCAGATGTTTGTGAATACTTAAGGACAAAGCTGCCTTCTCCTCTCTCACTTTGATCTGCCTAGGATGTGGAGGATAGAACATGAGGCATCCAGAAAAAGACTAAACTGTGCCATACAATTAGAAAGTCATGAGAAAAAAGGAAAGTCTCCCCTATCTACAGGATAAGAGAGAGACCAGAGTATCAATATCAGATCTACCACTTATTATTCTAGCTTGTTACTTCCCTCGCTTGGTTTCAATTTCCCTAAATGTAAAAAAGAAACCAATAAAGCAAACGGTCATGGCTTTTGTAAACAAGATAGTGGATGTAAAGGAGTAATTGCGTTTTTCACATGGTAGCCACTGCTTTGGTTTTGTTTTCGGTTATCATTATTTCCCTAGAAAGCTCATCAACCACTGCTCCAGATTGAAAGATAGACCCTGATAGTGTCCCATTAATTCTTTATGCTCAGACATAAAGCCATATATTGACATAAATTAGATCCACCCCTTAAAGTACAGCATAGGTTCTGATTTCTTTCTTAACACAGCTCTGATCACCCTGGCTCATAGGTATCTTTTCTGCTTCAAAAATCTTATGATCATCCATTCTGTCCCTGAATAAAAAAAAATCTTGTGATCATACTACTTACTTGACATTTTTTATATAGTACTTTTTTATTATTTACTTTTGTATTTGTGTGCATGAATGTAAAAGCCTTAAGGTACTGAAAATTTTAATGCTTCAATAAGTCCATAGTGTCCAGTGTGCATTGTAGGCATCTAGTTAATGTTTGTTGACTGATAACAAATGGTTATGATAAAGGGCAAAATAAATGATACAGCAGACTTATAATAATATGTTAACTGATCCACAATGGAATTAGAGAAAAGAGAGAGTACTGTGAAGAGAAGGGCTTCCATGGGATATGGAACTTATAACCAACTACGAATAGGAGGGGAAAATGGTGAACATGGTAGCAGTCCAGTGCAGAGAATGCCATCATTATGGAGAACTTCATTACATACTGGAATAGCATTGTATTATAAAATAATAGAAATGTTAGACTTGGGACCAGGCAAGGTGGCTTATACCTATAATCCTAGCACTCTGGGAGGCTGAGGTGGGAGGATTGCTTGAGCATAGGAGTGTGAGCCCAGCCAGAGCAAGATTAGACCCCATCACTACTAAAAATGGAAAAATTAGCCAGGCATTCTGGCATTTGCCTGTAGTCCCACCTACTCAGGAAGCTGAAGCAGGATGATTCAGCCCAGGAGTTTGAGGCTGCTGTGAGCTAGGCTGACACCATGGCACTCCAACCCGAGCAACAGAGTGAGACTCTCTGCCTTAAAAAGAAATGTTAGACTTGGAAGGACTACTTAGCATGACCTAGCCCAGCCCCTTTATTTTACAAGTAATATAACTGAGTTCAAGAAGTGAGTCGAGTGTAGAAGGGGTGGGAGAAAGAAATTACTCAAAATCTCATGGACTTAGGGTTAGAATTTAATCACACTCTTCTGATTCCAAGTGCAAGTTCTTTCTACCATTCCATGAAACATGCAACATTAACATAACCAATGAACTGCAAGTATCAATCGTGTAGAATTGTGTTTGCTGCATTGTATTAGCTCTATTCATGTTCAGATTCCCCACCATACATCTTTTTCCTGACCCTGTCCTTCTCTACCATATGCTGTCACAGCCCAGGCTTTGTGATTGCCTCCACTCCCTGGGCTTAGCTACAAAAGTGGGATACTTTTAAGGTTTCTACGTTATCTTCTCCTCTTTTGAGGAAAAGGTGAATATGATTTGATAAAACTTCAATGACATGAGGCTAAACATGAGACAATATGAATGATAGTGATAGCACAGCATATAGGAGCAATCAGAGGGATAAGAAAAACAGAGGTCATCAGAAATTGCTTGAGGTTTGGGGAACTCTAGGAGTAGGAGTAACAAACCGTGAAGGAAAATCAATGAGTTCATTTCCATTTCCCCCCTTTTTCTCTCATGTTATTTCAGCACATTCCCAGCTCTCTCATAACTCCTCGTCTGATTCAGCATTTGTTTTTGTCTAATCTTCTTTTATCAAAACCTGTAGAATTTTGGAGAGTCTGGGGAATTAGAAGCAGTGCTTTGTGGCCATGAGTTACTGCTTATTTTCTGTAACTACAGTTAAAGGGGTTATACAGAGGCGTTTTGGCTCTGTAAGGTAAGGCGATGTTATTTGCTTGCAGTTTTAAATTTACGCAGTCAGTGACTCCTCACAAAGCTTCATCTTATCTTTACTCTCTTTTCAGGAATGTTAGAGTCAGCTCTGCTCGCAGAGGCAATGGATGGAGCCAACCACTCTATGGTATCTGAGTTTGTGCTCCTTGGACTCTCCAATTCATGGGGGATTCAGGTTCTTCTTTTCCTCTTTTCCTCTGTGTTCTACATGGCGAGTTTGGTGGGAAACCTCCTCATTGTGTTCTCTGTCACCTCTGACTCTAACTTACACTCCCCCATGTACTTCCTGCTGGCTAACCTCTCCTTTCTTGACCTGGGAGGTTGCTCTATTGCAGCCCCCAAAATGATTTATGACCTTTTTAGAAAACACAAAGCCATCTCTTTCGGGGGTTGTATAACTCAGATCTTTTTTATTCATGTTATTGGGGGCACAGAAATGGTAGTGCTCATAGCCATGGCCTTTGACAGATATGTGGCCATATGTAAGCCTCTCCACTACTTGACCATCATGCACCCACGAATGTGCATTTTAATTTTGGCTGCTGCCTGGATCCTTGGCCTCATCCACTCAGTAGCCCAACTGGCTTTTATCATAGACTTGCCCTTCTGTGGCCCTAATGTATTGGACAGCTTTTACTGTGATCTTCCTCAGCTCATTAAACTTGCCTGCACAGAGACCAACAGACTGGAGTTCATGGTCACAGCCAACAGTGGACTCATCTCTGTGGGGTCCTTCTTCATATTGATTATTTCTTACATCTTCATTCTGATCACTGTTTGGAAACACTCTTCATCTGGTTTATCCAAAGCCCTCTCTACTTTGTCAGCTCATGTCACTGTTGTGGTTTTATTCTTTGGGCCATTAATCTTCTTCTACACCTGGCCATTCCCCTCATCACATTTGGACAAATTCCTTGCTCTCTTTGATGCAGTTCTCACTCCTTTTCTAAATCCAGTTATCTATACATTTAGGAACAAGGAGATGAAGGCAGCAATGAAGAAACCTTGCCATCAGCTTGTGAGTCATAGGAAGATATCCTGAATATTCTAAAGGTAAACAAAAATGTAGCTCTACACTCAATGGCAATGGAAAAAATAAAGTCATCGAAAGTTTAGATCTCTGTTAATTTTGTGTACTAGGTTACATTTAGGCATTTACCAGGTCATTGTGTATCTCTAGTACCTTAATCAATAAAAATAAAGGGAGCTAACACTGGAGGCTTATTTAATATTCATGATAACTCTGTGGTATTTTTACTTCAGTATTATTTTATAAATTAAGAAATGCTTTCTGTTAATTCTGTTTTTAATTACTGTGTAAATGTTTCAAACCAAAGCCGATTGTCACAGTCCACCACTTCCAATAGTCTTAGCTCTCCAAAGGTGCCAGAGAACATGTTGAATAATTCAATGTTAGAAATTAGTGTATTATTCCTTTTCACTGTTATATACTTTCCCCATTTTGAATTGGTTAATGTTCATTTCTGAAACTATCTACCAAACTGCCATAAAACCTAATTGCTTTGATTTTCTCCCTTCTTCCTTTGGTATCTGCCTGTTTCCTATATCCTTTGGCTACTTATTGAATTCTTGGCTATATAATAGAATTATGGAATTTTGGAACTGGAATTTGAGAGATCATGTTCCAACCTATTATTTTATAGATGATAATACTCAGGCACAGAGATGTTAGATGATAGATTTGGTATGAGAATTAGATCATTTTTAGATTTAAAAAATTTTTTAAATATTTAAGCTCACTTTTGTTGATTTGGATTCTAGAGCTTTCCACTAACAAATTATACCTCTGGCCTTCTATTGCCTTTCTGTTTCTGACCCCAGTGAACAGAAGAGACACCAGTGAGTTCATTACTCTTATCATTATTATCAATTTCATGTGATTGCTTATTGTTTCCAAATTATTTCTTTATTTGCAGCCAAACTAGAAATTTCTGGAACCAGGTCCTGGTTATTTTATAACTGCATGATTAAATCATCACTTGTTCCTGGTCTCTTCCATGGCTTTTACTTATGTCACCTACTAAAAAGTCCACAATTAAACACTCTTCTCTGTCTAGATTGCTTTTCTACTTTAATGAACACTGTAAAGGGCATTCACCATCACTTTGCTTATTGCTACCAAGATCTGGCTGTTAACTTAGGTAAGCTTCAAGAATTTCACGTATGAATATTATTGCATTTAAAAAATCTGTTTCTATTAGTGGATTGTGGTTTCCATGACTGAACAGCTGGGCACTTTAGAATTTTCAAGACCCAAGGGCAATATAAGCCAGAGACAAAATCTTTCTGATCTATAAATAAAGATATGGATTTATAAACTAATAACTATGACAACATTATAATAAAGCCTAGTTATTCTAAAGATTCTTTTAAAATGTTACATATATACTCATATCCCTGCAGACTTGTAATTTCTGGCAGATCCTTATAATAAATCCATCTTCTTAAAGCATTGATAGGTTTCAGATTTCTCTTAGGAAGTTATTTTACCCTTTCACATTCACATTGATTTTTATTTTATTTTGGACTTCTTTAAAATTATCAATTCACATGTAATATATATTTATTAAGAAAAATAAATATATTTGTCAGCCAAATATATTTGCTCAGCCATTAACTCAGCCAGATGAGAGATGTTTCTTTTTAGCAAAAGTAGCCATTAGCCGTGGGTTATCTACATATGCAATTATTCCTTTTCCCTATTGGTAAGCTTCATTTATACTTCTCTTTCTATGACTTCACAGAGTGCCTCTGTTGATATTAGCCTCACAAACATTATGTGATTCTCTGACTTTCTATTTGACAAGTAGAAACTTAAACATGCAATCATTTTGGGTAAAATTCAGGTCAGATTTATCATCATTTGCTTGCCCTTAACTGTTTCATTTACAACTCTGGCTGAAACTGCCACAGCTTGTTTTCATTTATCAGTGTTTTCACAGGATAGTTAAATATCATTCACTGGTTTTGTCCAAAAACCACCACCTCCACCACCACCACCAGGAACATGCAGCTGGCAAGTGGTAGAGCTGGGATGCATATCCAAACACCTTGTGCTGCAACATCCCTGCTCTTCTTAATCACCATACTCCACTGCCTCTCAAGATGGTGGGTCCCTCTCTCCTGTACTCCTAAATCTGAGCACATTTTTTCTCTATATACTTAATAGTATAAAATAGTAAACATAAAGCATATATCAACCCAATAAAATATAATGCTATTTAAGATTTGTGTTCTGTCATTTTAATGTATCATTAAAATATCCATCTATTTACTATTCTAAGGTTTTAAGACCCAGAGGTAACTTATATACTAAAATAATTTTATAAACCTTCTCATACTCAAACACAACTATGCAAAAGTGAAGGGCAGTGCATCATCTACTTCTTGGAGATATTTAGTCCATGATAGAGTAATGTTATTTGAGGAAAAGAATGAAGCTTCAGTGGACACTTCATGGGGTTCCTTCATTCTCACTGAACCAGAGAGTTGCATCAGTCTAGGCAGAAGATGACCCAATTTTCATAAGACAGCTTTAATTTACAGCTGGAAATGACTGAACAAATGATATATTGCTTTCTGATTCTCTACCATTAGGCTCCTCCAAAGTACCCCAAGAAGAGCTTAAAGAAAATAAAATGAACACTAAGTTTCAAGAACAGCTCTTTCTGGCTGTGCATAGTGGCTCATGGCTGTAATCCTAGCACTCTGGGAGGCTGAGGCAGGAGGATCACTTGAGGTCAGGAGTCTAAGAGTGAGCAAGAGTGAGATTCCATCTCTACAAAAATAGAAAAAATTAGCCAGGCATGGTGGCACACACCTGTAGTCCCAGCTACTCAGTAGGCTGAGGCAGAAGGATCACTGGAGCCCAGGAGTTTGAGATTGTGTTAAGCTAAGATGATGCCACTGCACTCTAGCTGGAGTGAAAGAGGGAGACTCTGTCTCAAGAAAACAAACAAAAAAATGTCAAAAAAACAACTCTTTATGGCAAATACAAAACTCTTCCTTCTTAGCTAATATAATTAACCAGTAAGGTTCCCTTTGTCTCTCCAGCTAAAATTTATGGAATACTGTATGCCAGGCACTATCTGATTTCTACATTATCTCATTGAAATCCCACAACCACCCTGTGAAGTGAGTACTATTATTATTTTACTCCCATTACAGATAAGGAATCAAGCATGGGAGGTCAGGAAGTTTGTCCTAGGGTACAGAGCTATGAAGTGTTGGAGCTGGGATTTGAACCCAGATCTCTCTGATTCCAGAGCCACTCTCTAAACCAATGTAGGTTTCTTTTCTCTTCTATTAAATTTAGTTCATTAAAGGAATCTGATTTCTTCTGGATTTTCACTAAAGGTTGTTTTGAGGTGATTTCTTTATCATTTTATCAATAGAAGTTAAAGTAACAGTTGTCTATAGTTCAACAGTTAGTAGACAGGATTTATTTTTACTTCTCTAATTTTGTGCCTCTGTTGACTTTTCAAGGGCTACAGCTGAAAACTGAATATCAAATGGCATTGAAGAAAGCACTTCTAGTGATGCTGCTGCAATGAATCAGACTTGGAAGAAAGTTTTAGTCAATATAGTGATGATTGTTTGTATTCTAGGCTTTATATGCCACAGAGCCTGTGATCTCAATAATAATGACAAAGACTCAATTTAGTCCAATTACATGGTAAATAGTAAAGATAAAAAAGTAAATGGAGACAAGGTAATAGCCAACCTTTCTCTTATTTGTCTTGGGAATCATGTCCTACATATGGATAGACTCAAAATGGATAGTCATGGTGTCTCTAGTTGATTGAAAAACATGGCTGCCATATTTTGTACCTCCTCCTGCCAAGAGGTGGAGTCTATTTCTCCAACCTTAAATCTGGCCTGGTCTTGTGTACATTGCTTTGCCCAATGGAATGAGGCAAAGTGATGTCATAGGAGTTCTAGAACTCAGGTATAGCTTGCTTGCAGCTCCTGCCTTTGCACACTTGTAGCTCTCCCTACCACCATATAAGGAAGCTTGGGCAAAACTACTAAATAATAAAAGATCCCTTGGAGAGAGAGGCCCCGTCTATAGCCAGCACTAAGGCTCCATACACATAAGTAAGGCCATCTTATATCCTGCAACCCTGGTCAAGCTGCCTGCCAGATGACTGATAACATCTGAGAAAGCCCAGGGAAGACCAGCAAAAGAACTGCCTAGCTGAGCTTAGCCTGAATTATCGACTCATAAGCAAGTAAAATCTTATTGATTTAAACTACTTTGTTATACAGCAATAAGTAATTGATACAGGGTACTCTGTATAATTGTATTTTATCAATAGCCCTTTCACCGACTCTCTGCACACCTTTGATGTAAAAATATAAAATATAACAAGAGGTTTTATGTTTTGTTGGTTTTTTTTTAGAAAAAATATCTTGCCCTATGAGGGTTAAACCATAGTGGTTTGTCTTATCCCAACTCCACTAGCATATGAATTCCATGCCCATATGCTCCTCTTATAACAACCTATTCATCTCTCCTGACCAGCACAGAATAAAGAACTAACTAAATGTTGACTGGAAAACTGTACATCTTATTATCTCTAATTTAATTATCCTTTCTAATGGTACACAGGTTGCACTCTACATATCACATCAGAGGCTTTTTTTCCCCATTTTCTCCCTTCCTATGGAGATGAAAAACTTTATTTTGCTTTTTTGAAGGTATATTCATTCTTATGGACTCTCTTCCCTCACAGAGAAAAACAAACAGATACATAGATTTTTTAATTCTGTAATTATTACACACACAAGAATCCCTTGTCTCCTTTCTTCCTTCCCCTCAAGTGACCCATTACCAGCTTTTCCCTTTAATTGCTGTGGCCAAATTTCTGTGGTCCTAGGAAACAATTCTCTTGGCCAATGTACTCAGGATGGCAATCTGACTTTTTGGTGCTGCTAATTAGCCACCTTTCCCCCACGGAGGTATTATAAATGGCTTTTTATGCCAAGCGATGATAACATCAACAAGTTCTACACTTGTGATCCTCTAACTCCATGAATATTTCAACATTGTTGCAGGTAGGTTAGATGGATAGAAACTGTCTCTGATGGAGATCAGAACTTCAAGTGGAAATACAAAGAGCAGTGAGAGGGAGAAATTA